AAAAAAGATTTGATTCAACAAGAATTACATGGCTTATCTACTTAAAATAGTAAAACATACCATATAAAATACGAGATCGTCTCTTCTAGACGATATATATATGTTTAATACGAATTTGAACTTGTAAAAAAGAAAAACAATTATCTTAACTAATCAAAATTGTCTCGATAGAATTGTAAATTTTTTCGAAAAATTAAAAGTTCTTATTAATAATTCTATTGGGAATGTCATTTGAAATCGTTTTTTTACAGATTATAAAATCTCTAATGTCACATCCGATTAGGAAACTACAGAACTAAAAAATAAAGATCAAAATCAATTATATTAAAATTCATTTTTAAACTTATATATTCAAAAGGTTAATTTTATTAGAGATGTACAAATATCAAATTACGCATAAACATTTTATTCTTATAAATTTTAATAATCAACTATATTTATCATTGAATAATTAGATTCTTTTTAGAAATATTTGCACAAAGTACAAATCATATTCAATTTATTTGACGTCATATTATTAGAATTGACATCTGACTGAAAGCAAGAGATCTTATGTTACATGTCGGAATTCTTAACTAGAAAAATCATATGTTATAGGTCAGATCGGTTTAGAAAATTTAATCAATTATTATTTTAAGTAGATGTATTCTTACAATCTTTTCATAACCATCGCTTTAATTAATAAACTAATAGTAAAAAGACTCCTTTAGATTTGAAAAGTAACATTCTCTATGTGTAATTTCCTGTATATTCTACTTAAAAAATATTTTTGTAAGATAAACTATCACTAATTTGTAAATTTTACAGTTGATATGAATTAAACAACAAACAAAAAAGAATTTTACCTGAAATTTTTTCATCGAATTTTTATATTCTAAAGACTTAACACATCAATCTAGTCTTTTTTCTTCTAATAAATTTTCGAAAAGAAAAATCTGGAAAAAAATATTATTTTCACACATTACAATATTAATATCATAGAATTTTCGATGATGTGATAATTTATTCTCTATTTAATAACTAAAATTATTTTTAAAGAAAACAAGAAAAAAAAGATCTTTCTCTCTATTCTATTTTAAATTAATAAATATTCTAACCTGTTGATCAAGATGCATTGTTGAAAATGATTTGTATACATTAGATGTAACATCTTGTAATTGATGTTCCTAAATAAGAAAAATAAATATATACATTATATTTATTGATTTGCTTGTATTTTGTCATAGAAAAAATAAAAAAAAGAACAAACATAAAGTCTCAAGTGATTCACACATAGTATAAATATTTGCCTCGCTTGAACATGTTATAGCCATGAATAGAATGTGACATATTCAGGCATCATTAGACCAATACATTTCAATAGTATGCATGACTATAACGCGATTACTTTTCTAGTTTTTTTTTCTTTTCATCTACTTCTTCCTTTTTTCTTTTTGATTCTTCTGCTTCTTTTTTCATCCTCTATCGAATAGAAGAGAATAATAATGGTTATTCTAAAGACTAGATGTTGCCCTTTTTCTTCGTCTTCTTCTTCTGCTTCTTCTTCTCCTCATTTGTTATTTATATCTGTTGCTAGTACTAACATTTTGTAACTGATCGTCGATATTAAGCTTGCGAGACACATACAAAATTAAAAAGTCATTTAACAAACGAGATCGACAAAACGCAAGGGACTAGGAAAAAAAACACACGCGAATATGAAAAACCATTAACTCTATATTCACCTCTTTATTAAGAATATCGAATTTTTTCGGGCTATTAAATATAAGTACGAATTGAATGCATTAGATATTCGTGTAATTTGTTCTTTATTATTAAAATTATTCCATTTGAAATCCTGTAAAAGGATCAGACAGATCATTTTTAGAACGGATAAATAAAAATAAGTCTTAGATTTTCGAATTAATCAAACAAAAAACATATGAAATAAAATCTCCAGGAAACAAAAATATTAATTACTGATATCTCTTGAGATTTACACTACAAACATTAGCAACTCGATTCATGATGAGTGTCAACTTGACTAGTTTAATTCTTATTTAATTACAATAAAAATATATTCTTTTATTTTCATTTTTTTGTTCTTATGAAAAAAAAAGACAATTGAAAAAAGAAAAATCTTATTGTTGATAATTTGTATGCCTTTTACTTACTGTTTTTATTAAAGAATAACCGTGATGTTCTAATCTTAGTTTCTACATAAATCGGGCGTAAAATATAAGGAAATTCATCTTCACTTTATTTCCGGAAATGTGGCAAGAAGGTGGTCTCTTTCAACAACTATTCTATACCCTGTTATTACAAGAAAATTTTCTTCTAAAAAAGAAAAAAAAACTTAGTTGTTGTTTTTTTTATCTCTGATCTTCTTAAAATATTTCGAATCTTTATTTTCTCAAAAATTATATACAAATAAAAAGATAATGATTTACAAATACATCAATTTTTCTCCAGGTGAATAAAAACATCATTTATAAGACACTCATTTTCTCTAATTTTGAAATATATTTCAATACTCACATTCGTGCGTAGTAAACTATCAACTAGTCTATGAGACTACTACATGATATTTTTATAGATGTTAACTCTAGCACTATCATTTATTAATGAAATTGAAATTTTTATACTAAAATGATTAGGAAACGGAACTCTACAAACGCTGATAGGCGACAATTTTATTTAATATGCTTATACTACTCTCAATAGAATACCCATGGAGATACTCAATTATACTTTGAAGACAATGAGAACTTATCGTGACATTATAGCACATCATGATCCACTAAATAACTTATTATACGTCTTACTTTCTATTTTCCACGAATTTTCATCTCTTAAAATTGAACAATATTTGACATTTTTTTAAAAGTCAATAAATAAATGTCTTAATTAGTCAAGATAGAAAAATAAAAATACCTTGAAATATTATTGTTTTGCGTACTTATATAAATATCGGAAAAACTCATTTTCTTTTACTTGAATCATATTAAACGAGAGTTAGATTATTAATCTATTACAAACAATTATTACTAATGATTGAAATCGTATAATACCATTCCGTTTTCATGCTAATGATTTTTGTTGATAGAATAACTTACAAGTACAATTCTTCTTTTCAATTTTCACGATGTTTCCAGTCGATTTGATCTTATCAATTTTAAATATAATATAATGATAACATTTGTCTATTAAAATATAAAACAGAAAATAACTTTGATAAGTAAAAAAACGCTCAACGAAGTATCACAAACCTCAATGTTTCTTTCTTTTTTTTTTGATTAAAATATATATCCCGAAGAAATGATGATGAAGTTGTTAGTTAATAATATATAAATAAGTTTATTCATCCAGATAAAATATTGTTTAGAAAAATCTTCTTTGTTGTATGTTTACTTATTAAATAACTTCATCATAGTTATTATTAATAAAATTTTACATTTTTTTGCTTTACAATTACAATTCATTAATAGAAAAGAAAAAAAATCTAAGTAGATTGAATTCGTGCGTGCATAAATTAACGATGATAAATATATATATTCTTTGTTTAATCATAGATTTGAAAGAGAAATTTTACCTTGATGAAAGTCTTCTAGAGCGAGGCAAAAAGAAAGATTAGAATATCTAATCCTATTTGTTGCTTTTTATATTATAGTTTTTACGTATTCGTTTTTTTATTTCAACGATTTGTCATTTACAGTTGATTTCATTGGTATCAAACTTATTTTCATTATCAATTTTACAATTTTTAATAAGGAAAATATATTTTTTGTCTACATATTATTCTTGAACGTATCTTAATTAGCTTGTTTAACAATAAGTTTTTAAAGTTATTTGTTTTGTAGCGCCATCTGTGCATTGATCGTTAGTTAAAAAAGATACAATAGATAGAGTTTTTACAAGGAAGGAATACATAAACATAATAATTAGTATGATAGAAACTATTCTAGGAAATATTGTCAAAGGTCATCTTGAACTATTAATTTAAGTTTTATTGTAATGAATAATCAAAGCTGGAAGATGTGAGTAGGCACGTTGGCGTGCAAGAAAAATATAAAATTCTCTCATTCACACTTCCTTCGGGGGGGTTTATATCAAAGGTTTCAATGTAAATAAATATTGTGAGACTTATACCGATCTAATTATATATGTCTGGTATATGTGAACAAATATTGATTCATCGTAGAATTTTTTTTAATTGTAATATATAGCCCAAGTAAAAGAAAATAATACTTAAAAAGTAAAAATACTGGAAAAGATTAGTCTCAAAATAGATTAATCTAGTGGTTAACAAGTGTAAGATTTATAAAAGAAAAGCATTATATTAAGAATACTCGAGTTTTTTTTAAAGAATCTAACAAATCTCACAAAAATAAATTCAGGAAATCTATCGCCATAGGATCAAAATGATTAGTGATAAATATAGAAAGAAGAAATATATAGAAAGGTAATTATGTTTTTGCTCGACAGAATATTATTGAAGAATTTCCGTCGACTAAGCACTAACAGAAAGGTCAAAAAAAGGCAAACAATCGAAAACATCTAGTTGCTTTTCATAGAAAACTTTATTTAAATAACATAAATATCACATCATATATTTAATCCAAGAAACAACTAAGTATATAGAAATGAATGATAAGAACAAACCATCTCTAGATTTATGAATAGACATCAAGACCGTTTATACAATTATTACTTTTTTTAACAATCAAAAGGGAAAGTTCTTCAAGGTACTTGTAGAGCGTGATCTCTTTCTTATTGTATTGATCCGTTAAATTTTTTAACCATTGGTGTATTTATAGGCTTTATTACTACTTTTCTTTATTTTCCGCATCTTTATGTGTTGAATAGTTTGCTTTACATAAACCTCTTTCATTTGAAAAACTTTAACGTTGTGCCAGATATTATGCAGACAGTATTAATTAAAAATCAGGTCAGACATTTTGCTCGACAATGATCGAAATAGAGGAAAAAATATCAATCATTCAATGAAATGAATGTCGCCGAAATGTTTTGTCGATGAATCAACTTCAAATGGTGATGATGTGCCAGTTGTATGTCGTTTATTTTTTCAAAATCCTGTTACTAATCTACGATTAGATATTAATGGGCTTGATTTATATACAGTATATATTCAAATCAATTATTCTCATTCTATTTATTCATTTTCCTTTTCTTTTTTTAGAGTTCAGTAATTGGTAAAGATCGTTATATACTTCATCAACAATTAAAAGATAGTGTATATAAACGTCTAAAATAACAATTATATCAAAATATATTTATATACAATGATTTACTCAATTTTTAATATTAATCATATCCGTCCTTATTTTATTCTTTTCGCAATTATTATCTCTTTAACATATGCTATGATTTTGCTCATATTTACTCAATGATTCTTTTCGAGGATAATGATATATATATATATACTATTGTTCACTTGCTTTTTCTGGTTGTTATTATTTACTTATATTACAACCTTTCTTTAATCAATGAATAGAATACAAAAACAATAATATTAAATAAAAATATAATGTCACGTTATAAACAGAAATGTTTGTCTTATTGAAAATTTCGGTAGTTAGCACGTCGACTTGGTACAAGACCGAGAATTACTTCACCAGGATTTGATGAATAAGTCTTTTCTTTGGCATGTACGAGTTTTTTTGCCAATATCAGTGTAAAAATTAAACATAGCACTTCGAGAACTAAAACACCACCTAAACTACTTCCAATAATTAGAAGGCTCTGCTCGAATATGTCATTAATGGCTTTAACACAGCCCTTTGTATTTGTAATTTTGAAACATGAAGGAGGTGGCGTTATACCATATGTTTCATAATCATTCTTTCCATTGATACCACAACAGTTTACTGAATCTTCAAATTTATGAAAAGCTTCTTGTGCTTTAGTATTATTGTGAACAAAGGCATTCATAAAAATTTCTAACAAAGGATCATCATACATGATTTCGAATCTATTTTTATAACTGAAAGCAATTCCAAAACCAATAAGTTGAAGAATCATCAAAATAGTAGCAACAGTGGCATATATGTGGAGTAAACGGCGATTGCACCATAGTAATCCTTTAGAAATATACAAAATAGACATGATTTATAATTAGTATGTTTATTAAAATACATACCGATACAACCTAGTAATGCAATTAGCACAACTAGTATACCTTCGCCAATCATAATAAGAGCTAAAAAATCATTCAACTCGCTAGCCAAAGTAATTTTACTGAAAACAGCTGCAAAGTTGTTATCTACGGCCATGTAGATTCCAAGGCCCACGACAGCAAGTCCAAAAAGGACTAACAATATGTTCAAGAGAAGCAGTATGGCTCTCACGAATCTTGTACCGCATCTAAGTTCTCGATCCATAGTATAATGTATATATTTTTCGAAGAAGTATGAGACAAAGTGGAAATAAAATAAGTAAAAATGACTGTTTACACCTATTTTATACACGTAATATCATAAAACAATCCTATAGAATGATAAGGAAGATCAAGAATATTTAATTTTTTGTGTTGATACAACGTACATTCTCTGTATACAATTCTATAGATATTAAGTAAAAGAAAACAGAAGCGTAGATAAAAAGGATTCGTTATCAAAACTAATTAAACACATAGAAAATCATGAAAAAAACGTTTTATTTTATCATTATTATGGTCAGAGTCCATTTTGTTACATATTGAATAGACTTCTTTTCTTTCGAAAAAGAAGAAAAAGATCATACTTTTATCTGTACTGCAAAAATACAGATATACAAAATATAAATATAAGTTGAAAATAAACCACACTAGATAATGATGATGGTTACAACTCTTTTTTTTTGTAGACACTTAGATAGGAAGTAAATATGATGCTCTTATCTTCTTTTATAATATTATCTGTAAATTTGTCCAAATAACAAACATTTATTAAGAAATAATTCTTATACTGCTGTTATGAAGAAAATCATTGATTTCTCTATAGTAGAAAAAGTACATTTCAAATTTTAAAAACATATTTTACGAAAAGTACATAACAGCAATGCGTATAAATAAAATAGAGAGTGTGGGTGTGGGTGTAAGGATTCACTCGGTGATACCTACATCTGCACACACCCTTAAGATGCTGAAAACCGCAGCTCTTCATCTTGTTCCTATCGAAAGTTATTCCAAAAAACCAACCGACCTTTTATTTTGAAGTAGGCAGTAGTTTATCTATGCAAACTAATCTTGAATAAATACAGCTATCAAAAGGTTTTTTCTCATTTCTACGAAAAAGGTAAGTAAACATTGAAAGAATTTATTTTGGCCATGACGCATACCACTTAGAATTTCATTCTTCCCAATATGAAAACGTCCAAAGGAATTTTATCCCAAATTTCAGTTTAAATACAGAATCGTTTTTGAAATATATTATTATAATAAACAGTTACATCTTACTGCTTTTAACAAACTTTTTCGTCTATATGGTAAGAAAAATACTCTTGTTTGCATTCTTTGTTTTTAACAAAAGCATTCTGTTGGTTTTTTCTTTTCTTGTTGACTCACTGTTAATATAACAATAGGGGAAGAGACAATAAAAACAACTATTATAGTAGAAAAAGAAACAGATTTATTAAAAGATAATAAAATTATTGAAATATATGACTGAGAATTGAATCTCGTTGACTAGTTTCTTTAGTTTAACTATTTATACGTAATAATCTTTGATAGTGATGTGTTCCTCTTCTTTTTCCGTTCTTGTTATTTTCCTTTGTGATGTATCATGAACTTTTCCTTTCGGTTTCTTCTTTCACCTTTCATCACTCATATGGATTTTTGTTTGTTCTCTACTCATTCGTCATCACCTATGGAAGATTCCATTTATCGATAGTTTCTCTTTGTTCACTGTCATCTACATAAACTGGCGGAATGCAATAAATGGGATCGGCTCTGTGAATCGAGATAACATGCAAACAATACGTCTCACAAATAATATTTAAAATATATAAGATGGTTTTTCTTTTGCTTTCATCTTCCGATTGTTTGTTTTTTTCAATATGAAATTATTCTCAGTATGTATTCACCTGTATGTTGTAAAAGACAGAAAGAATGTGTTCACCTGTATTTGTACCCACCGGCGGAAATGACTCGTAATCGATGATTCATTATGTTGGAAATAACCATGTACAGATAAAGGATGTGATATAGTAACGAATGGAAAAAAACCCAGAAGAAGTATATCATGGTTATTTTTTTGCTATTAAGTTTTATATCGGACATGTTCATTTTATATTTTGATAGATATAGTTTTATTATATTTTTAAATTTATATTTTAGATTAATTATATGTGTCAGTTACCTACTAAAAATTCATTTATCGATCAGTCAACAAACTCACAAGTTAGTTACATTGAACTTTATCTGGAATGAAAATAATTTTTTGTTTTTGCTATATAGGATCAAAGAAATATGGTTGGTTTTGATGCTCGAAATAAAGATTCCGTAGCACGTTGTTATCTATGTCAAATTTGTATGTTAATATTGAGAAACCCTATTCAACTTCTTTGTGGTCATCGATATTGTCATTCGTGTCTGAATATTAAAGAACAGTAAATTTTTCATGAGTTTCTTCTTTTGTAAAAATTATTATAAACTACTGTATTTTTGTATAGTTCTGTCGTAAAATGTATAACATGCAATGCAGAAACTACTCACGATAAAGTAAATCATGTGTTTTTATTTGATATGTTAAATAATATCTTTTTTTGTTATTTTAAGATAATAGTTGATCGAGGTTGTCAAAATGATATGGAAACATTAACAATACTCTGTTGTTTCTGTGATTGGAATGGTATCTTTAAAGATTATGAGGTAATGTTATAGATTTTATTAAAATTTACTGATAATATCCTTTGATTTTTAGAAACATCTGTGTGCTAATCAATTGAATGTAACTTGTCAATATTGTGGTAAAGATTTTGTTGATAAGAACTTATCACTTCAACATCAATCAGAATGTGGGAAAATGACTGTCGATTGTCCATTTAAACAATATGGATGTATTGAACAAGTATATAATTTCTTTATTTTATGATGTTCTATATGTAATAGAATCCTTCTTTTATAGTTTCTTCGTAAAGATACACACAATCATCTATTAACAGAGAAACATCAAAATATAATGTCAAGTGTTTTAATCGAATCAGAATCGTATCTAATGAATATTCAAAATAATCAACAATTAACATCTACAGTGTCTAATGATCAATTAAATAAAACTGTAGATATTATTCTAAATAGTATAGAAGTATTAAATGATGATACACAACAACTTAGTTCACAAACTACTCAAGCTCAATGGTTGTTAAAAGATCTAACCGAAGACATGTCGAAACTCAGCACAGCTGTACAAGAAACGCAATCGTTTACAACAGGTCTTACTCCTAATCAACAAGTACTTCAACAAAATATGAATTCACTTAAACAAGAGATAGAAGATTATCAATCTATATCTTGTGATGGTACACTTTTATGGAGGATTACAGATGTTCAAAAGAAAATGGGTATGTAATCTAAAATGAGATTTTGCTTGTTTTTGATTACTATACAGTATTTCAATATAGTAATATAATCTATTTCTTTTTTCTGACTTTTTAGCTGATGCTCAATCTGATAAAGCACCATCAATCTATTCACCTCCATTTTATTCATCACCAAATGGCTATAAAATGCGTGCTCGTCTCTATCTATATGGTGATGGTACTGCTAGAACTACACATTTATCTATTTTCTTTGTTCTTATGCGTGGAACATATGATGCGCTTCTTCAGTTTCCATTTAACTACAAAGTGACATTTTGTCTTTATGATCAATCCGATAAACAAGAACATATTATCGATTCATTTCGACCTGATATTTCATCAATGAGTTTTCAAAGGCCTCGTACTGATATGAATATTGCTAGTGGAATACCAAAATTTTTTTCATTAACAAAACTTCAACAAAATAATAATTCATACATTCGTGATGATACGATGTTTATTAAAGTTATGATACACTTTCGTGAAGCACCTAAAACACTTTTGCCGTATATATTTAATATTAATCCAGGATTACCTACTACTGTACAGGAAACGATGACGCAACAAGAAGTAGAAAAACAGAAACAACAATCGACAGTAGATACTAGCGTACCGGCAACTTCTTCTACGACACTTAATTCGACATAAAATCTTCTTGATCAGATGACGTTTACATTTTAATACAACTAATGTTTCATCATTTTTCACATTAAAATTTATTTTTTTACTTACAAATATATCCATTTCATGACAATACAATAAACAAGAATCGGACTAAAATTTCTTTAATCATTTTCTGAAGAATACATTGTAACTTTGATAATCATTCTTAAATATGTAAGTAAAGTTTAATATTCAAAATAATAGGGTATAAGAAATCGAATGATTAAAATGACAGTTTTATCCTTTTTACAGCAATTGAAACTCTATATTATCGAGAGTACTTTAAAGTAAATTATGTTAACAATATTAAATCATATACTGATTTGATATTAAGTTCAATAAGGTTATAAATGTTTTATTTAAAATGATCTATCTTTCATAATTTATAATTATAAACCATTTTCCTTGATTCAGATTGTTAATGACTATTGAAACTAATATGAATATTGCATGATTGCATATCTAATTGATACTATAATTACTTTATATTTATGAACGAAAGAGAACACATAAAATCATGTTAAATGAAAGATCATTTTAGAATGTTCGATGAACAACATTAACGCCATCTATCAAAAGAAAGTATTTCAACTAGATTAAAAATTTTATAGAAAAATAAAATAATTGTAATAAGTTAGATAAAAATTTCCATAGAAACTGTAATTTTGATAATAAAATTTAATCATATTTTACTATTGGATCTTTATTTAGAACCATTGATGACGGAAGGCTTTGTCTAAATGTTGTTTGTGAATATGACCATTGCATTTTTTAATTGACGTGATCTAGTATTTAATATATATTATTGGCCATAATGGAACCTGACTTTGAACGCCGTTTAATTCGATCAATGTCAGGTTGTTCATCAGTTTCTTCATCACCATTCTCATCACCTATATCATCTCCATCACCGATCAAACACAGTGATCGTTTTATTCCACTTCGAAGTGTATCTCAACCATCTGCATTTTTTATTGACCAAGAACAAATTCATAAAGGACCAATGTCAGATAGAAAATCATCTCGTGATTCATTATCAACAGCATCAGCAACTACAAATACTAGTACAAATTCTTCTTCAACTAATGGATCAACAACAACAACAACAGCTGCTGATAGAGCTAAAGATATGCTTACATATCAAGCTTTATTACAAAATGAAATGTTTGGAACACAAATTGATTGTTTATATGATGAACAACATATGAGTAATGCTTATTCAAATATGAATAGTAATAATCAACATTCAACTAGTAATACAAATCAGATTGGTAATAATGATATAAATAATAATGGAGGACCAACAACAATTATTGGTCAAGGTTTAGGTGGACAAATACATACAACAGCTATTTCAGGACTTAGTGTAAATAAAGATTTTTATCTTGAAAAAAATAACATATGTATATATATATATATTTCAGGGTATTCTTACACCATCACCAGGTTTTTTATCTCATTCATATCAACAACGTTTACCTTATACAAATTCAAATTCAAATTTATTACGAACACGTGATCCAAATACAATATTTCGTTATTCTGCTCGTCGTAATACAGATGATTTACATTATTCACCTTATTCTCTTTCACCATTATCACCTGCATCTATTCGTCTTTTACGTTCACCACGTAAACAATTACGAAAAATTCCTAAAACTCCATTTAAAGTTCTTGATGCACCTGAACTTCAAGATGATTTCTATTTAAATTTAGTTGATTGGTCATCAACAAATATTTTAGCTGTTGGACTTAATGCATCTGTTTATTTATGGAATGCAAATACAAGTAATGTCACACGATTATGTGATTTACAAACTGAATCAGATACTGTAACAAGTGTTGCTTGGAGTGATCGAGGACAATACGTTGCTGTTGGAACTCATAAAGGCATTGTACAAATATGGGATGCAGCAACCAATCGTAAAACGGTTTCATTTCCACGTCATACTGCACGTGTTGGTGCGTTAGCGTGGAATGA